AAAAAAAAAAAAAAAAAAAAAAAAAAAAGTTTAAGGTAATTATTTTACTATGGTCATGGTGATTTCTACCCTATTTCTTTGATCCTAAGCTGGTTACCAGTGAGGTTTTGTGAATCTAAGGCAGCCCAGGCCCAGTTCACCTATATTACCTTGGAGTTCAGGAAAGAAACAGGTGGTGGGAGGTTTTGGAGTCTCAGATCTAGCTAATGCAGTCTCCAAAGTGTCCTCTTCTTTTGGAAATACAGTCACTAGGCCTGTTAAGGCTGAGGGTAGATTCATTCTTGAGAGACAGTATGCTCCCAGTACTACACACACCCTTTTTTGGGTATCAATTTATTTTTTATTTTTAATTTTTGTGGGTACATAGTAGGTGTATATATTTATGGGGTATATGAGATACTTTGATATAGGCATGTAATGTATAATAATCACATCATGGTAAATGGGGTATCCATTCTCTCAAGCATTTATCCTTTGTGTTACAAACAATCCAGTTACACTCTTTTAGTTATTAATATTATGTTTTTTCTCTTTTTGAGAAGGAGTGTCACTCTGTTGCCCAGGCTGGAGTGCAATGGTGTCATCCCGGCTCACTGCAATCTCCGCCTGCCAGGTTCAAGGGATTCTCCTGCCTTAGCCTCCCTCGTAGTTGGGATCACAGGTGCCAAAAATTAGATGTCCAGCTTAATTTTTGTATTTTTAGTAGAGATAGGGTTTCATCATGTTGGCCAGGCTGGTCTCGAACTTCTGACCACAAGTGATCCATCCACCTTGACCTTCCAAAGTGCTAGGATTACAGATGTGAGCCACTGTGCCTGCCTCTTTTATTTTTAATATGTACAATGAAATGATTATTGACTATGTGCTATCAAATACTAGGTCCTCTTCATTCTTCCCATTTTTGTACCTATTAACCATCGCCCCCACCCCACCCCCACACCTCTACTACCCTTTCCAGCCTCTGGTAACCATCATTCTACTCTCTATGTCCATGAGAACAATTGTTTTAATTTTAACTCCCACAAATAAGTGAGAACATGTGAAGTTTCTCTTTCTGTGTCTGGCTTATTTCACTTAACATAATGGCTTATAGTTCCATCCATGTTGTTGCAGACAACAGGATCTCATTCTTTTTCACGGCTGAATAGTACTCCATTATATATATGTACCACTTTTTTTTTTCTGAGACTGAGTTTTGCTCTGTTGCCCAGGCGGCACGATCTCGGCTCAAGGCAGCCTCTGCCTCCCCGGTTCAAGCAGTTCTCCTGCCTCAGCCTCCTGAGTAGCTGGGATTACAGGCGCCCGCTACCACACCCAGCTAATTTTTGTTTTTTTATTAGAGATGGGGTTTTACCATGTTGGCCAGGCTGGTCTCTAATCCCTGACCTCAGGTGATCTGCCCACCTCAGCCTCCCAAAGTGCTGGGATTACAGGGTTGAGCCACCGCACCCAGCCACATTTTTTTTAATCCATTCACCTGTTGATAGGCACATTGTTTCCTAAAAGTCTTGGCTATTTTGAGTGTTACTGCAATAAGCATGGGAGTGCAGCTGTCTCTTTGATATCCTGATTTATTTTAGATACATACCAAGCAATGGGATTGGTGGATCATATAGTAGCTCTATTTTTAGTTAGTTTTTTGAGACAAGGTCTCAATCTGTCACCAGGCTAGAGTGCAGTGGCATGATCACAACTTACTGCAGTCTTGACCTCCTGTGCTCAAGCAGTCCTGCTGCCTCAGCCTTTCAGGTAGCTGGGACTACAGGCATGTGCCACCATACCCAGCTAATTTTTTTAATTTCTTTTTTTAGAGACAGAATCTTACTATGTTGTCCAGGCTGGTCTTGAACTTCTAGATTCAAGCGGTCTTCCTGCCTCTGCCTCCAAAATTGCTAGGTTTGATGTGATCCATCATGTCCAGTTTTGAGGAACCTCCAAACTGTTCTCCATGGTTGTTGTACTAATTTAACTTCCCACCTACAGCTTACGAGGGTTCCCTTTTCTCCACATCCCTGGTAGCATTTGTTATTGCCTGATTTTGGGATATAAGCCATTTTAATTGGGGTGAAATGATATCTCATTGTAGTTTTGATTTGCATTTCTCTGATGATCAATGAATGTTGAGTACCGTTTCATATACCTGTTTGACATTTCTACATTTTCTTTTGAGAAATGTCAGGTCTTCTGCCCATTTTTAAATTTTATTATTAGATTTTTTCCTGTAGAGTTGTTTGAACTCCTTATATATTCTGGTTATTAATCCCTTGTCAGATGGATACATTGCAAATATTAATATTTTCTCCCATCCTATGGGTTTTCTCTTCACTTTGTTGATTTGCTGTGCAGAAGCTTTTGAACTTGATGTGATCCAATTTGTCCACTTTTGCTTTGGTTGCCTGTGCTTGTGGGAAATCTTCACCCAGACCAACCAATGTCCTGGAGAGTTTCTCTGATGTTTTCTTGTAGTAGTTTCATAGTTTGAGGTCTTACATTTATGTCTTTGATCAATTTTGACTTAATTTTTGTATATGGTGAGAGGTACGGATATAGTTTCATTCTTCTGCATAGGGATATCTAGTTTTCCCAGCACCCTTTACTGAAGAGACTGTCTTTTCCCTAACATGTTCTTGATACCTTTGCCAAAAATGAGTTCACTGTAGATGTAAGGATTTGTTTGTGAGTTTTCTATTCTGTTCCATTGCTCTATGTGTGTATTTTTATGCCAGTACCATGCTGTTTTGGTTACTATAGCACTGTAGTATAATTTGAAGTTAGGTAACATGATTCTACCAGTTTTGTTCTTTTTGTTCAGGATAGCTTTGGTTATTCTGGGTCTTTTGTGGTTCCATATAAATTTTAGTATTGTTTTTTCTATTTCTGTGAAGAAGATTACATTGAATTTGTAGATTGCTTTGGGCAGTATGGACATTTTAACAATATTGATTCTTCCAGTTCATGAACATGGTATATCTTTTCATTTTTTTGGGTTTCCTCTTCAATGTCTTTCATTAGTATCTTATAGTTTTCACTGTAGAACTCTTTTATTTCTTAATTCCTAGGTATTTAATGTTATGTATACCTATTGTAAATGGGATTACTTTTCCTCTTTTGCAGAATGTTGACATATAGAAATGCTACTGATTTTTGCTATGTTTAAATGCTATGTTGATTTTGTATACCACAACATTACTGAATTTGTCAGTTCTAGTGTTTTTTGGTGTAGTCTTTAGGTTTTTTCAAATGTAAGATTATATCATTTACAAACAAGGATAATTTGATTTATTCCTTTCTAATTTGGATCCCCTTTATTTCTCTCTTCTCTAATTGCTAGCTAGGACCTCTCCTTTGAAAGAAAATTAATGGAGTAAATTTTTACAATTACTCAAATTTTTCTATAGGTTAGACTCTCAGCAGCCCTGATGTAATTATGCCCATAAGTGAATAAACAAGAACCTGTTGAAACCAATTCAATTAAGCGCTTAAAGGCATTCATGATCTCTACACATGCTATGTTTACTCCCTACTCCTATACAACGTATTTAATCGCTCATGATCCCTGTCATGAATGCTTCACTCCAGGCAGCTTTGTCTTCTTAATTTATACTCATTTGCTTTCTTAATTCGGGTGGGCCACTCTTCTGCACTTCCTCCTCATACCTCTCTGCCTATCCAGATCCCAGCATTCCTTAAAGGTTCAGTAGTGGTTTCCAAGTCTTCTTCAGAACTGTTACTGCCATAACTCCCAGTGCCTTGCTCCTTAACAGAGCAACTTCACTGTTACCCTTTTTACCTGGTGGGCTCCCAAGTAAGAGATCCTTTGTGGAGCAAATTCTACAAAAAAAATAAGCTTGAAAATCATTACCCTATTGTACTTATTTTTATCATAAAGTAGCCATATAATAATGAACTTCCCTCCTGAGATGTTTAATTGGTGTTAGATTAAAAAAAAAAAAAAAAAAAAGAAAAAAAATAATGAACTTCCCCTAATTTTTATCTTATTCCTCCAATTAGAGTGTAAGTGTTTTAGGAGCAGGGCTACATTTTATATATCTAAAGTGACTCAGGTATGCCTATTAGAATAATAAAAATAAAATAAGGGGACTCTAAATAATTTTTGATTTATGTAGACAGTCTACAGAAGTGTGACAACTTTTACTTGGTAAAATTTTTTTAGTCTAGAGAGCTATTTTCCATGCAAAATTTAAAACAAGCATTTATCAAGAAATATCTCCTCTCTAGGATTATGACAATGATGGCAAGATATCTCTTGCAGACTTTGAAAAAGCAGTAAGAGAAGACAGACTTCTGTTGGAGGTGTTTGGACCATGTTTACCAGAAGCAAAGGTATAGTTACTAGTGCCAACAGCCCAAATAGATTCAGGAAAAATTTTAAAGGGTCAGAAAGTAATACTTGCTAGACACTCTCCTCTGTTGAGCTGCAGCCCACTGCTGAAATTAGGGCAATCATTGAGAGTTTAGCCCCATCCTGGCATTTGGGCCCCAAGAAGACATTCATGATTATTTCAGTAACTATATTCAAGACTTTCATTGAGCTTTTAACCTCTTTAGCAACACACAATTCCTGTTTCCTGTAAGTATGGTGTATTTCCCAAACCAAATCTAGGGTATATTGGCTTAAGGGTTAGAACACTGAATGAAGAGTTTCAGCAAGTATACCACAAACTACTAGAACACTTGATCCCTTTCAACCCAATTGCCGTCAATGTTTTTAAAATTTTGGAGACATAGAGTACTTTGTGCTTATGAAAGTTTTTCATGTATGCATCTGACAAAAGTTTCCTGAGCTGCAAGTGTCAGTCTAATAATTGATTTGGCCTTAACATATTCTTCCTTTATCAACTGTACTTTTCAAACACTGGTATACAAAAGCACTTTTTTTTTTTCTTTTTTGAGACAGTCTCCCTCTGTTGCCCATACTGGAGTGCAGTGTTGCAATCTCAGCTCACTGCGACCTCTGCTTCCTGGGTTCAAGCGATTCTCATGCCTCAGCCTCTTGAGTAGCTGGGATTATAGGCATTTACCGTCACGCCTGGCTACTTTTTGTATTTTTTATAGATATGGGGTTTTCGTCATGTTGGCCAGGCTGGTCTCGAATGCTTGACCTCAAGTGATCCTCCCACCTTGACCTCCCAAAGTGCTGGGATTACAGGCGTGAGCCACCATGCCTGAAATAATAACCTATATGGAAATTTTGTAAATTAACTTGCATGTTATTAAGCTATTTTTATCCATCTCAACTCATCTATTTGTCCCCCTGTGGTTTATTCCCTCTACCCCACATTTTAACTTTCTGGAAACGTGGTAAAAAGCAATGTGTGAAAGGCAGGCTTCCAATCTGAAAAGAGATGGGTGAAAACAGTATATAGCATAATGGACTAGATGAGAGTAACAACTTAGGATGGAACAGCCGACAGTTCTTCAGCTGCTCCCAGAGTTCATGTGTAGCCCAGTTATCTAGAGCTTTACTTTTCTTTTTTTTTTTTTTTTTTTTTTTTTTTTGAGACGGAGTTTCGCTCTTGTTACCCAGGCTGGAGTGCAATGGCGCGATCTCGGCTCACCGCAACCTCCGCCTCCTGGGTTCAGGCAATTCTCCTGCCTCAGCCTCCTGAGTAGCTGGGATTACAGGCACGCACCACCATGCCCAGCTAATTTTTTGTAGCTTTAGTAGAGACGGGGTTTCACCATGTTGACCAGGATGGTCTCGATCTCTTGACCTTGTGATCCACCCGCCTCGGCCTCCCAAAGTGCTGGGATTACAGGCTTGAGCCACCGCGCCCGGCCTAGAGCTTTACTTTTCAAAGCATGGTCTGTGCACCAGGAGCACTAGCAGCACCTAGGAACTTGGAAAAAATGCAGAATCCCAGGCCCCATCCAAAACCAACTGAACTTGAATCTTTTTGTTTTGCTGCTTGATACCACAAAGGTTTCTTTCTTTCTCCCCTAATGATTAATTATGTTGGTGGTGATGAGGAGTGCTGACTTACACAAGGTCACAAGACTTATCAGGAACCCATTCAGAAGCACATGACCCATTTAGCAGCACCTCTCCTTAAGTGTCAGATAACTTTTGTCATGCAACAAATCTCTAGAGCTCTTTTCATCTTCCAAAACTGAAATTCTATACCTACTAAATAATAACTCCTCATTTTCCCTCCCCACAACCCCTGGCCACCACCACTAGAATCTGCATTTTAACAAGATGCTGAGGTAGAGATCATAACAACTTATTTATAGTCTGAGAGGCCTAAGCAGACAGCAATTTGCTCTTCCAATTCTATGCTTAGGTCTCTAATATATCTTTTATCTTGCGATTTCAGCAAAAACTATATCTAATTACCTCACATGGAAGTAGGGCCTACCCTCCTTATCTGCAGCTTGCTGTTAGTACCATTTTCCACTTAGAGCCATCCTAGGAAATTTAGATCAGTACATCATAGCTGAAATGGAACCTTATTAACTGATATGTTCAAATTCAATCTACTAGGCAAGAGGCCATTAAAGATAGAGAGAAATGAAAACAACACGCCACGGTATGGACCTTCTCAAGTTATTTTTATCAGTAAAGAAAATGGCCAGGTGCAGTGCATCACACCTGCAATCCCAGTACTTTGGGAGGCCGAGGTGGGTGGATCACTTGAGCCCAGGAGTTCAGTACCTGTCTGGGTAACACAGTGAGACCTTGTCTCTACTAAAAATAAAAAAAGAAAAATAGAGACAGCCTAGATGTGCTGAAATTTCCAATTATGTGATCCACTGACAGGAAAAAGTGTGGATATGCCACAGGAAGTAACAGAAGTCTAGAATTCACAAATACTGATTTATTTTTGTATTGCCACAGGTCAAGCAAATTCTTCCTAAAAGTTAACTAAAGCATGTAAGCTTCTAATTTCAGCTTTGTTCTAATAGTTAATCTACTTTTTACTTCACAGAGTTGTCTTGATTTTGAAACCCTGGCATTCGGAAACATCCTGACTTCTAGTGTTTCAATGACTCATTCAATAATTGTATTATAATCAGAAACAGATCCTGGTTGCCTATCTTTATTTATATTGTAAAGTTTCCATATTTGCTTCAATTAATTTACATATAATTACTGCATATGAGAGGTAATGTTATAATGACAAGAATAGTTTACAACATTAAATATGGATCAAAAAAAGAAGAAATGACTTTAGACAAATAGCTTGAATGAAATTACAAAGAAGAGTGCATTAAAAAATACCAGCAGTAAAATCTCTTGATGAATTAAAATAACAGGCTAAAGATAAAAAATAAATGCTCTTTCCAGAAAATACTAATTTGCTGCTGGTACTCTATATTCTTCTTCTTTGTTTTAGTGGATGACTTGTATGCACATCTTCTGACTTGTCCTCCGGAAGCTTTGGCACAGATGAAATTACCTAATTAAAGAAAAAAAAGAACCATTAAAACTTAGTTTCTATAGTGCAGGAGTAAAGAAGCTATTAGAAGAGGTAAGATTATATCCAATAGTTTAATCCTTGACATCACTTTTGAGGCAGAGTTGGCCTATGTTCAAGTTACAGCCTATGATCTAGGCACAGAATGAAGTTTTCTGTTCAAACACTGATGAGAGTAAAATTTCTAAAGCTATTTAAAAAGAAAAAAGAAATTGGAGGAAGAAAAGTGAACATATGCTCTACTTTAACATTACTTTATAGATCTAAAGTCACTTGTTATTTTACAGATACAGATAGATATCCTGGTTTTGCATTCTTGAAACACTGATAATGTTTGATAGATTTGGGGGGAATGAAACATTTAGAGAAATGAGCAGAAAGCAGTATAATCCTCAATTTCCTAGGTGAAAAAGGAAAAGCAAACACACCATCAGAAAAAGAGTGTACAAAGAGCGTACAGTAAGTCAAAACAGAGTAAAAGAGTCTTCATTTGAAATGGAAAATTATTAGAAACTATAGTAAATTTTATTTAATATTACTTTTTTGTTGTTCTATTTCTAGAAGGACCTAGATTTTGGACCTCACACGTTTTTCTTGAAAATGTAATCAGCTGTGGCTGAGACAGCTGTGTATATATGTCTATGCCTCAGTTCAGCCATAACTGAAGGAAGGATAACAGCACAAAACTGAAAACCTTTTTTTTTTTTTTTGAGACAGGGTCTCACACTGTCATCCAGGCTGAAATGCAGTGGCATGATCTTGGCTCACTGCAACCTCTGCCTCCCAGGCTCAAGTGATCCTTCCACCTCAGCCTCCCAAGTAGCTGGGACTACAAGAGTGTACCACCATGCCTGGCTAATTTTTGTATATTTTTGGTAGAGATGGGGTTTCACCATGTTGGTCAGGCTGGTCTTGGACTCCTGGGCTCAAGCAACCTGCTCGCCTCAGCCTCCCAAAGTGCTGAGATTATTGGTGTAAGCCACTGTGCCCAGCCTAAACTGAAAAACTAAAGGCTTCAGCACAAAAACTGTGTCCATGGATTTTAATTATTATTAAATAATGCCTCTTTAATCAGATAATAATTAATTTTTAGGTAAAAAAATGTACATACAAGAAATTACACTACCTTAGCCTCCCTTAATCACATTGTAAAACATAGTAGAACTGTGAAAAGCACTTTCTGCATCTTAGAGTAAGAGAATGTCATAACCCTCAGTTTATGATGTGTAACAGCAGCTCCTACTCTCACCCCACAAAAAAGTGTCTTTCAAAAGCTAACTCAAATGTTAACTTTATTTGTGCTTAGGAAATGGAAAATGATTATGTAAATGACATTTAAAAAAAAGACTACCTAGGCAGCACAATCTGGTCCTAATCATTTAAGAAGTCTACATTTGAAATGCATACCTGGAGGCCCAATGTTTAGAAATCTCATCACCTTCTATTGCTTTTTATCACAAAAGCAAATTAAGCATTTTGAATTTTATATAAACTGTAATAACTCTAAATTTGAGAGAAATAATTTATAATACTTTTCCTTCTTAACTCTGGCTCATATTAGAACTATCTGGGGAGATTTTAATAAAAATGGCAGACCTGGGCTCCACTCTTACAGATTGATTTAAGTGGCTGAAACCACTGCTTTAATATTTTGTATCTACAGTGACATAAAATGTTTTTTCATTGTTTAAGCAAGTATTAACAGTATCAAAGCAAATAAAATGTTAGCCAAATTCGGTTATTTCAACAGAGAACTGTAGAAAAACACGTCAAAAAACTAAAAGGTGAAAAAAAAATTACTATTGTTCCCACAAATAATTCTCCATTTATTTAGTCCTGTAACCAAATCGTCTCTTAGAACAGTTTTTTTAAAAATAATCTTACCTCTTTAAGTTTATTGCGAATTAAATTTGCCGTTGTATTCAGTGAGTCATCATGCATATCCACTTTAGATATGTCTGGTAACAGAGGTCCAATCATAACCTCTTTACTACTTGGGTTTGTTTCAAGAAAAGTTCCAAGTTTACGATCATCTTCTCGTCTTCTTTTGCGCTCCTGCAGTTGTGTTGTCCTAGGCATAAATCTGTCAACTGCCTCTGAAGGAATAATAGCCTTTCGTGCACCAGGGCAGTCCACTGAGTTTTTAAAAGGGTTTATCTGTGTTTTCTGCAAAGAATCATTGTGGTTATAATGCTCCATTGTTTTATCATGGTTTCTACCATCCTTAGAGGAATTTGATGCTCTGTCTACATGCTTCCCAGATGAACACATACATTTTGAAGAGAAATAACATAAAGGCAATTCACAGGAATATGGAAGATAAGGATTTGAGTTCCCTGCAGAAGTGTTCAGAGCAGCTGTACAAAATCCAGACATCTCTGAGTGGAAGTCTTGTCTAAAATCCTCTGTGTCTTTATGCTCTGTAACCAATTTCTTCTTTGTCACATACTGGTCTTTTTATTACAATTCAAAAGGTGAGAGAAAGGAAAACAGAAGTCGTTTATTTATTGTTTGCA